AGGAAAGGAAGAAAAAGAAAGAAAGAAGAAAGAAAAGAAAAGAGAGAGAGAGAGAGAGAGGAAGGAAGGGAGGGAGGGAGAGAGGAAGGGAGGGCCTCTGTCTGCTGAACTCCTAATTCATCACAAAGCTTGGATTAGTCACCACTTTCTTCTTTATTATAGTCACTCTGTATATAGTTCTCTAATCCCCTGCCAGACTCTAAGGCTTCATGAAGACAGGACCCATGCCTGATAAGCCATCTCAAATAGCATCTAGCATAGTGCTTTTCACAGCATAGAAGTTTAATACTTATTCAAGGAAATGCAGAATGAATGGATACACTACTTCCAAGAGGCTCTCTTCTATGTGCATATACCAGGTATGCCCCTTTTCTGTACTTCCATCAAATAAAACCTCATTCAACCGTTGGCTGAAATGGTACACTGCCATTCTAAGAAGCTGAAAACTAAAGATAAAGCAGGATTGACATTACCTCTTGCAAAAGAAAGGGTTTTAAGAAATAAAACATGACTATGCATTTTCTTCAATCATACTTTTTTCGTTTTTTTTTTTTTTTTTGATAGAAAGACACACTCTGTCTCCCAGTTTGCAGCGCGATGATGTGATCATGGCTTACTGCAGCTTCCACCTCCCTGGCTCAAGCAATCCTCTCACCCCAGCATCCTGAGTAGTTGGGACTACAGGCACGCACCACCATGCCTGGCTAATTTTTTTTTTTTTTTTATTTTTTTTTTGTAGATAGGTGGTCTCGCTACATTGTCCAGGCTGGTATCAAACTCTTGGGCTCAAGTGATCCTCCTGCCTTGGCCTCCCAAAGTGCTAGGATTATAATCGTGAGCCACCACACTCAGCCCCATTACGCTTTATACCTCCTTAATCCTCTATATCTGTTTGACTGTCTAAAATGGTAATAAGGTGTCAAAATATTTATTTAAGCATATAACTAAAGACCCCTTCCTCCCAGAAGTTAGTTTCGCATTGAATTATTCTGTTTCATATGTGTTAGTTTTATTTGCTAGTTAGACTGCAAGGAAAAATGTTTCATCATTGACTGTCACAAAGATATCGTTTAAAAAAAAAAGTTGCATCATATTTTGAGATTGATCTTCACAGAGCAGTGACTCATGAGACTAAAAACTTTCTCACCCTTCCTCAAAGCTTGCTCAAGTAGCTAGAGATATATTGATGTAAACCTAAATAAATTATGGTTGTCCCTAAATCAAAGAAATAAAGCTGTGAATCCTGTTATAACAATCATCTCTAATTTATCTGGATTTTTTCCCCCTTAAGGTAGATATTTTGTGAGTAAATCAGTTGCCCCCTAAACAGTATGTTGATTTAGCAATAGGAAGCTTACTTATTAAGAACTTACTCTATCTGACACACAGCTTATTAGAACCATTTGACAGGAAAATGGGCTTTGCATTTTGTTTGACGGCTTTATTAAGTCATCAGTTTTTGCAAGAGTAGAAAACGCTGTGTTTCGAAAATATTTTAAAATACTAATAATGTTTTTTCCTAAAAGATGTTTCCAGGTAGATACTAACATCATTATTTATTTATTATTTTTTAAAGAGACAAGGTCTCACTATGCTGCTCAGGCTGGTCTCAAACTCCCAGTCTCAATCAATCTTCATGCCTTGGCCCCTTGAATCACTGAAATTACAGGTGTGAGCCACAGTGCCCAGCTTGCAAGCTTTAACAAAGAGGTTCTTTACTTATTAAAAAAAATTCATCTTATATCACCGAACCACACTTTCCAGAAGGCTAAACCATGCATCACACATAAATGCAATTACCTAGAAATTAATAAGCAAATTCAAAACATTCTTCGTTTGTTTTCCTTTGATTTAACTTCCAAACAGACAGCTAAGAATCAAGAGTTGACGGAGCTACACAACCAAAGCAAAAGTGAGGCAGGAAAGAGTATTTCAAGCATTTAGAAATAAGCTGATATTTCACAAGTCTATGGGAAATTTCCAAAGCACGTCCCAAGGAGCTGTTTTCAGTGGAGTGTTAGTATGGTGAATACTGGCATGCTATTATTGACAGCACTCAGAAGTGTCTTAGAAACCTAAACAAGAATGTCCAAAGGAAATATAGATAACAGAAGACCACATTTTAAAGTAAAACTTAAGTGATGATGCTGATATTAAACTCTGAAAATGAGGGTTTGCCCATCATGCATCTGTACACACCTGGATTAGCACTCAAACTCAATTAGTTTTAGTTGGCTCCATAGTTTCCTTTGGGTTCAATGATCTGGATAAAACTTACACTTTGATATGGTAGACTTAATTAACCCCACTGAAATTTAAGGGACTCCATGGGGATTACAAAACACACCATTCTATACTAATTGTCCTATTCATCTTTGTTAGGCAGCCTCCTCATCAACCAAGAGAAAGATCACTGTGCTGCAGCTTCCACCAACATCATGGCTATCTTCGGGCAAGACTATGCGCCCACAGACATGAACTGTACCTCCTACCCAGACACCTAACATAAATGAAAACATACCCTGTTTCTTAATTTCAGATGAAACCGAAACATCTGGTCCTGTACTTGCAGGCCATAGATCTTATAATTTTGGTCCCCCATGGAGACTGAAGATGCCGAATCAGAGAGCTCAGGTCTCAGGAGTGAGCACATATGCAAACTTCAGGCCACTCCAGCAAGACCAATCGCTGCATTTGAAATTTAGCTCAGCCCACAGCCAAGCATAAGAAGGCTTCCTTTCGCCAAGAAAGGTGGCCAATTCCGCCTTGAGCAAGGGGAGAACAGTTAACAATGGGAACTATTTATAACCTTTCTTTGCCTAATAAAAATCCCAATTTTTCCCCCACACCCACACCAGGAAGAGTCCTAATCCCCATACAGAACCCTCAACGATACTCCCAGCCAGGGAGGAAGAGGTTACATAATGGAGTCTAGGCCAGCCAAAATGCCAGAGGCATAAGTGACCAGGGCTACAAACGCTTTGGTGGGTGGGGATGAAGGGAAAGGGTAGGTAGGAGGCTTAATCTGAGTCGAGCAGACAGCTTGGACATTTGATGACCGATATTCACCACGGAGAGATAGATTTTTACTTTCCTTTCAAGACAAAAAGGAGGAACAGAACAGACAGCCCACCCACGTGAATGTACAACCAAGAGAGATCTCATGTACCAGCAGTTGGCTGTCCAACCAGACACCACTGTGGACTCTCCACCTTCAGTAGCAACACTCGGTGTGCACAAATCCTCAGCTCAAATCCTCTTCCCTCAACCACACAATGAGTGCCTGGACAGAAAGGAAGAGGGTGGGATTTCTCATGCCGGGACACCTGCAATAGCACCTCTTGCCTGCCCAGAGGGCCCAGTACCCCACCCCTTCTCTTCCCCGTGTCCCAAACTCCCCTTCCCTTCCCAATATTCAGCTTCTGCCGATCCTTTCTCATTTTTAGCTGTATTTTTACCACCACTCCACTATATTGTGTTCCCATGTCCTTCTTATTACCCACTCCCTGCCATACAGCACCAGCAACACAAAAGGCACACACAGGGATTAGAACATAAAGGGGCTATATCTCCCACCATCCACAATTAGGCAGAGGAGGGTGCCAGGTATGCCAAAGTAAAAATATGGCTGAGTTCTCTCTCCCAAGTTCTCTTTCAGCATTGCTACATAAACTTGTGTCCACACTTAGGATAAAGCAAGCCCCATTACCTACAACATTCCCAGACCCAAGTTTCTGCAAGAAAACTGGGTGGAAATTCAAAACACCCAAATTAAATGCACGAGAGATGAGCTGAGGACTCCCCAGGAAGGAACAAACAGATAAATTATTGAATTGATGTTTTAAAATAAACAACTATGAATAATTAAAAGCTACAAATTTGTAATGTCACACATATTTCCAGGTATAATATATACATATAAAATGTCTTTAAAATGCTTCCATCAATTTGGATTTTTTTTTTTTTTTTTTTTTTTCTCCTACTTTAACATCCCCTAAAAAAAAATTTTAGATGTTAAAAAAAAAAAGCAGCTTTCAAAAGACATGAATTTTTTTTTTTTAAAGCTAGCAATTATATGCTTCTTCCAGTTAAAGTTTCAGCTTTTCAGCCAAAGCCTGTTGTTGACTTTTCTCAAGCAGTAGAATATTAACAAAACAAAATCTTGGAAGCAATCTACTGGCTTCCTATTCTCCAAGACCGGGTAGGTCAAATTTCAGAGGAAACAGGACTCAACCCTTAACAATGCATACGTACCCACTTAACTACTTCTACGCTGGGCATATAATTCCAAGAATTTGCATCAGCTAAACAGATCTCTGTAACTGTCGAAGGGGAAAAAACCTCCCAAATACATTCTCAGCAAAGCAGTACTGTGAGGGGCACTCAAGTTGCATTGAGAAATGAAGTGTCGTGGTATAAAATCTTTGGTGAGGGGAAGGAAATCACTGAAAACATTCTTACCATGCTCATCAGGCTCTGTTGGCTTGGATACTTCTCTGAACGGCATTATAACTGCATCTCCAGGCACTCTGGGACTTTCCACATACTTGGGCTTCCTGACGGGACCTGCAGCGGGAAAGATCTGAGTGTGGCTAATTTTTTCCAGATGCAAACAAAGGCTTGGAATGTACAGTGTGTGTCCTTACCAGGACCCAAATATGCCTAGAGGAAGAGCCAGTCCCTTCCCCTCCCTTACACACACACACACACACACACACACACACACACACACACACACACACACAGTCACTTCAGTACAGACAAGGGAACGTCCAGTCTGGGCTGCCGAAGAAGAAAAGGGTAAGCTTGGATTTGAGAATGTAAACCCTAATAAAAACAAAAGCTGCTCTCTTGCTGTGAAGTCGCTACAGCTGTCTTTGCTGGTCAAATGGGTGATTCTGACATGTTCAAAGCTGGGTGGCTTATGATGAAGGATTTCATAATTTTCCTCTAACTGGGACAAGGATGGGACAAAGACAATTTGATTGCTTGGTATCTCTAAAGTCAGGAGGCAAGGATTACAAACAGCTGGCCTGTAACAGCAACACCCTCTGTGCACCAGCCGCAAGAATGCAGGCATCTTATCTGGCTGGTGACGCACAGTAACTGTGTGGGGCACAGCAGCCAGCCAGCAAGGGGGTCAGACACACGAGAGACCCACAGGCTTATCTCCCACCTCCTGTCCCTGCAGCCCTGACTTATCATCAGAAAATCCGGAATTCTTAGTAAGACTGGATGGTACCCTCATATACAATGATGCAGCCGTTCTGGAAAACAGTTTGGCAGTTGTTCAAAAGGTTAAGTAAAGAGTTACTACATGGCCATGCAGTTCTACTCCTATGGTAATGTATGTTCACACAAAAAAACTTGTACACAAATGCTCATAGTAACGCCATTTATACTAGCAAAAGGTACATCAAATGGTGACAACAAATTGTGCTTTGCCCATACAATGGAGTATTATTGGGCTGTAGAAAGGACTGAAGTACTGATTCGTGCTACAACATGGATGAAGCTTGAAAACATTCTGCTAAGTGAAAGAAGCCAGTCACGGGATCTACATGATTCCATTCATATGTCATGCCCAGAAGAGGCAAATCTTTCAGAAAATATGAATGGTTGCCAGGGCTGGGGATTATGCAGGCTGTGCAGGCCTGTAGGGTAATGGTAAGGGATATGTGGCTTCTTTCTAGAGTGAACAGATGTTCTAAAATTAGGTTGTAGGGAAGGTTGTACAACTCTATGAATATATTTAAAACTACTCTATTGTATGCTTTAAATGGGTGAACTGTATGGATGTGGATTATACCTAAAAAAAACTGCTTAAAAAAAAAAAAAACTAAAGGAGGCAGATCCAAGATGGCTGAATAGAACAGCTCTGGAGTGCAGTTCCCAAGGAGAACAAAGCAGAGGGTGAGTGATCACGGCATTTCCAAGCAAGTTATTACTGCCCACAGACCAGGAGATTCCCAGGCTGAAAAGCACCACAAGTTTCCAGCATGGTGCAGTGGGTCTCCACACAAAAGCTCACACAAATCTGTGTGACTGTTTCAATTGGCGCCTCGGAGACAGAGTCGCCCATTCAACTGAAAAAAAGGGGGCTGAAACAGGGAGTCAGGTGATCTGGCTCGGCAGGTACCACTCAGATAAAGACCAGCAACTTGAAACGCTCTGGACTGAGAGTTTCACAGCAAGCGCAGCTGGACCCAGTACAGTCCAGCTCTGTGGCTGGAAGGGCATCCGTCATTACCAAGGGAGTCTGCCACTACCGAGGCAAGCCACCATTACCGAGGCAGTTCTAACTAAACCTCTTTAAACAAAACCTCAAGGAAGTTCACACAGCAGCTGGGCAGAGCCCACAGCAGTGCAGCAATGCCTCTGCTGGCAGACTGTGACTAGGCTACCTCCTCACTGGGCAGGGCATCTCTGAAAAAAGGCAGCAGAATGACAGGAACTTACAAATAAAGCCCCACCTTCCCAGGACAGAGCACCTGGGAAAAAAGGTGGTTATGAGTTCCACTGCAGCAGACTTAAATGTACCTGCCCAGCAGCTCTGAACGGAACAATGAGGCTCACAGCTCAGCACTTGAACTCCTATAAGGGACAGTCTCAAGCAGCTCCCCAAACCCTGTATATCCAAAGAGACACCTCATAAAGGAGCACTCAGGTTAACATCTGACGAGTATCCTTCTGGGATGAAGATAACAGAAGAAGAAACTGGCAGCAATCCTTACTGTTCTGCAGCCACTGCAAGTGATCCCCAGGCAAGCAGGGCCTGGAGTGAACCTCCAGCAGTCCTACAGCAGAGGGGCCTGACTGTTAGAAGGAAAACGAAAAAACAGAAAGAAATAACTTCATCAACAAAAAAGGACATCCAATCAGAGACCCCATCTGAAAGTCACCAACTACAAAGACCCCAGAAACCAGTGCAAAAAAGGATGAAAACACCCAAAACCATAATGCCTCTCCTCCCCTAAGGTATCACAACTCCTCACCAGCAAGGGAACAAAGCTGGATGGAGAATGAATGTGATGAATTGACAGAAACAGGCTTCAGAAGGTGGGTAATAACAAACTTCTCAGAGCTAAAAGAAAATGTTCTAACCCAATGCAAAGAAACTAAGAACCTTGAAAAAAGGTTTAACAAAATGCTAATGAGAATAAACAGCTTAGAGAAGAATATAAATGACTTGATGGAGCTGAAAAACATAACACAAGAACTTCGAGAAGCATACACAAGTTTCAATAGCCAAATCGACCAGGCAGAAGAAAGGATATCAGAGATTGAAGATCAACTCAATGTAATAAAACAAGAAGGTACGATTACAGAAAAAAGAGTGAAAAGAAATAAACGAAGCCTCCAAGAAATATGGGATTATGTGAAAAGACCTAATCTACATTTGATAGGTGTACCTGAAAGTGATGGAGAGAATGAATCCAAGCTGGAAAACACTCTTCAGGATATTATCCAGGAGAACTTCCACAACCTAGCGAGGTAGGCCAATATTCAAGTCCAGGAAATACAGAGAACATCACAAAGATATTCCTCAAGAAGAACAACCCCAAGGCACATAATCGTCAGATTCACCCGGGTTAAAATGAAGGAAAAAATGCTAAGGGCAGCCAGAGAGAAAGGTCAGGTTACCCACAAAGGGAAGCCCATCAGACTCACAGCGGATCTCTCAGCAGAAACCCTACAAGCCAGAAGAGAGTGGGGGCCAATATTCGACATCCTTAAAGAAAAGAATTTTCAACCTAGAATTTCATATCGAGCCAAACTAAGCTTCATAAGCGAAGGAGAAAGAAAATCCTTTACAAACAATTGCTGAGAGATTTCATCACCACCAGGCCTGCCTTATAAGAGCTCCTGAAAGAAGCACTAAACACAGAAAGGAACAACTAGTACCAGCCACTCCAAAAGTGTACCAAATGGTAAACAGCATTAATACAATGAAGAAACTGCATCAACTAACAGGCAAAACAACCAGCTAGCATCAAAATGGCAGGATCAAATTCACACATAACAATATTAACCTTAAATATAAATGGGCTAAATGCCCCAATCAAATGACCCAGACTGGCAAATCGGATAAAAAGTCAAGACCCATCAGTGTGCTGTATTCAGGAAACCCAAGTCACATGCAAGGACACATATAGACTCAAAATAAAGGGATGGAGGAAGATTTGCCAAGAAAATGGAAAGCAAAAAAAAGCAGGAGTTGTAATCCTAGTCAATGATAAAATATATTTTAAACCAACAAACATCAAAAGAAACAAAGGGCATAACATAATGGTAAAAGGATCAATGCAACAAGGAGAGCTAACAATCCTAAATGTATGCACACCCAATACAGGAGCACCCAGATACATAAAGCAAGTTCCTAGTGACCTACAAAGAGACTCAGACTCCCACACAATAAATAGTGGGAGACTTTAACACTCCACTGTCAATATTAGACAGATCAATGAAACAGAGAATTAACAAGGATATCCAGGACTTGAACTCAGATCTGGACCAAGCAAACCTAAGAGACATCTACAGAACTTTCCACCCCAAATCCACAGAATATACATTCTTCTCAGCACCACATCACACCTACTCTAAAACTGACCACATAATTGGAAGTAAATCACTCCTCAGCAAATGCAAAGAATGGAAATCATAACAGTCTCTCAGACCACAGTGCAATCAAATTAGAACTCAGGATCAGGAAACTAACTCAGAAACGCACAACTTCATGGAAACTGAACAATTGGCTTTTGAATGTTGACTGGATAAACAAGGAAATGAAGTCAGAAATAAAGATGTTCTTCCAAACCAAGGAGAATGAAGACACAACATACCAGAATCCCTGAGACACATTTAAAGCAGTGTCTAGAGGAAAATTTATAGCAATAAATGCCCACATGAGAAGCAAGGAAAGATCTAAAACTGACATCCTATCATCAAAATTGAAAGAGCTAGAGGAGCAAGACTCAAGAAACTCAAAAGCTAGCAGAAGACAGAAAATAACTAAGATTGGAGCAGAACTGAAGGAGACACAGACACAAAAAACCCTTCAAAAAAAAATCAATAAATCCAGGAGCTGGTTTTTTGAAAAGATCAACAAAATAGACAGACTGCTAGCCAGATTAATAAAAAAGAAAAGAGAAGAATCAAATAGATGCAATGAAAAATGATAAAGGGGATATCACCACCTATTCCACAGAAATATAAACTACCATCAGAGATTACTACAAACAACTCTATGCACATAAACCAGTAAACCTGGAAGAAATGGATAAATTCCTGGACATTTGCACCCCCGCAAGCCTAAACCAGGAAGAAGTTGAAACCCTGAATAGACCAATAACAAAGGCTGAAGTTGAGATAGCAATTAATAGCCTATCAACCAAAAAAAGTCCAGGTCCAGATGGATTCACAGCTGAATTCTACCAGACATACAAAGAGAAGCTGGTACCACTCCTTCTGAAATTATTCCAAACAATCCAAAAAGAGGAAATCCTTCCCAAATCATTTTATGAGACCAACATCATCCTGATACCAAAACCCGCAGAGACTCAACA